CCCAATTGCTACACTAATGAAACAGCATAGTAAAATAATAGAGAGTATGGCAGGCCAAAAATCCTAAAAGGAATATAACTGCAGGCCTGACAGCTACACCACTTCAGACAAATGGTTATCCAACATCTTCTTTAAAAATTTCAGCATTGGAGCATTCACAACTTCTGGAGGCAAGTTAGTCCATTGATTAATTGTTCTAGCTGTAAGGAAATTTCTCTTCAGTTCTAAGTTGCTTCTCTCCTTGATTAGTTTCCATCCATTGCTTCTTCTCCTGCCCTCCAATGCCTTGGAGAATAGCTTGACTCCCTCTTCTTTGTGGCAGCCCCTGAGATATTGGAAGACTGCTATCATGTCTCCCCTGGTCCTTCTTTTCATTAAACAAGACATACCCAGTTCCTGCAACTGTTCTTCATATGTCTAGTCCCCTAATCCTCTTTATTGCTCTTCTCTCCACATCTTTTCTATATCGTGGCGACCAAAACAGGATGCCGTATTCCAAGTGTGGCCTTACCAAGGCATCATAAAGTGGTATTAACCCTTCACGTGATCTTAATTCTATCCCTCTGTTTATGCAGCCTAGAAGTGTGTTGGCTGCTTAAATCCAACTTATTCTTAACACACTGGTATACCACAGGCTTGTGTGCTGAGTCCCTTATTCTATACTCTTTATGTGCATGACTGCATTCCCACTCACACTAGTAATACTATTACTAAATTTTCAGATGACATAATAACCGTGGTGGGACTCATCTCCCGGGGAGGGGGTGAGTCTGCCTATCGAGATGAGGTGGACGGGTTGCTTTCGTGGTGTGGAGACCATAACTTGGTCCTAAACACCAATAAGACCAAGACGTTTATAGTGGACTATAGAAGGAATAGATCAGACATCCAACTCTTGCTTATCAATGGAGACCGAGTGGAGCAAGGGGCCAGTTTTAAGTTCCTGGCGTTATCCTCAAAGAGGGCCTGGCCTGGGGGTGCCCACATGGCAGCCCTGGTCAAAAGGGACCAGCGGAGATGGTATGACCTGAGACTTCTCAGGAAACAACAACTGAATGAAACATTGCTGGTGACTTTCCACCGCTGCACCAGAGAGAGCATTTTCACTTACTGCACAAACTGTGTCCAGTTTGACAATTGCCCAGTGGCAGATAGGACAGCGCTCCAGAGGGTCAACGTCATTGCCCAGAGGGTCACGGGTTGCCCCCTCCCCTCTTTGGAAGAGCTTTATATCTCCCGCTGCCTTAAGGAAGTTCAAAACATCCTTAAAGACCCATCTCATCCTAGGCACCCCCTTTTTTTTAACTATTACCATCTGGCAGACGGTACAGGGCAATAAAAACAAGGAGAAATAGACTGAAAAACAGCTTCTATCCCAGGGCAGGAACCATATTGAATTCTACTGTATAGTGCAATATTAATGCAATATCAGAGGTTTTCAATTCAATTGTATAGAATGTGAAGGATGGGTATTTGTGTTTGATTTTTTTATATATAATGTACTGTACAATACAATACAATAGCAGAGTTGGAAGGGACCTTGGAGGTCTTCTAGTCCAACCCCCTGCCTAGGAAGGAAACCCTATACCATTTCAGACACATGGCTGTCCAACTTCTTCTTAAAGACTTCCAGTGTTGGGGCATTCACAACTTCTGGAGGCAACTTCTGTTCCACTAATTGTTCTAACTCAGGAAATTTCTCCTTATTTCTAGGTTGCTTCTCTCCTTGATTAGTTTCCCCCCATTGCTTCTTGTTCTGCCCTCAGTTGCTTTGGAGAATAGTAGCTTGACTCCCTCTTCTTTGGGGCAGCCCCTCAAAGATTGGACCACTGCTATCATGTTACCCTTAGTCCTTGTTTCTAGATAAATACAACACAATAGCAGAGTTGGAAGGGACCTTGGAGGTCTTCTAGTCCAACCCCCTGCCTAGGAAGGAAACCCTATACCATTCAGACAAATGGCTGTATAACATCTTCTTAAATTCCGGTTTTAAGGATTTAAAAAATGCCTATTAGCAATAGTGTAACAAATTACAATTACAATACAATACAATACAATACAATACAATACAATACAATACAATACAATACAATACAATACAATACAATA